AAAGGGTTATGGTTAGGGTTAGCGAAAAGGGTTAAGGTTAGGGTTAGCTAACATGCTAAGTAGTTGCAAAGTAGCTAAAAAGTAGTAAGTAGTTGAAAAGTTGCTAATTAGCTAAAATTGTCCGTGATGAGATTTGAACTCACAACCTTTGGGTTGCTAGATGTTCGCGTTATACGCCCACCCATCCACCCTGACCAACCACCCTACTTACATTTTTGCCTTAAGTAACCATCTGTCTTATGTAACCATACGAAATGTAACATATCATATTAAATGGAGTGTCTCTGATTTACGTACAGAATAATATGAAATGCTCTGAGACCAAGTTGAGAGACCTGGCTAGTCTGGAGTGGCACAGAGAGCTGGCAGAGTGTGGAGGGAAGGGGTTAATTGAGTCAACATGGAGCATGAATGGCATTATCCTGACTTATGAGCCTCTGAGGCTGCTATTGAATCTGAACAGCCTGGCAGGAATAGAGCTCCCCCACTGGATCATATGCATCAGCCTAAAAGGCACTTTGACTGCTAATATGCCTGCAAGGAGCTTTACTCATGAAACAGCCTGCAGCATTCAGGGCGTTCGTAAATTCAGAGCATTGTCAGATTGTTTGTTCGTAAATTCAGAGCGTTTTGCTCTCTGGGGCATTCAGAGCGCACACTGGACGCTCTGGCCGAGGAGCAGGGTTGATCAAAGCGTTCTGACCTCACAACGGCAGTCAAGCACCCTAGCTAACTGGCTAACGTTGGCTAGCTTGCAAGTTACTTCCAGACACAAATGAGAGAACACCTCACTCTGACCATTTTACTCCCCCTAGCAGAGCCGGTTAGGCTGTTTTCATTTAGAGCGTTGGTGATTGTAACTGTGCTGCTGGCAACAATTTAATTACGTTTTTTTGCCGACGTTTACTGACACCGGCCATATTCAACTGTTGAGCGTTCGTAAATTCATCAGTTATTCTGCGCTCTGGTACACTCAGACCAGAGTGCTCTGAAATCGGAGTAGATAGCCAGAGCGAATTTATGAACACACCCCTAGATAGCTCACAAGACTACCTAGCTAGTTCCCCAAACTCGGACCTGAGGCCCCCCATGGGTGCACATTTGGTTTTTTTCCCTAACACTACACAGCTGATTGAAATAACTAACTCCTCATCAAGCTTTGATTATTTGAATGAACTGTGTAGTGCTAAGGCAAAAACCAAAATGTGCACCCAGGGGGGGCCCCAGGACCAAGTTTGGGAAACCCTGGCTCACAAGGCTAGCAAGCAAGCTACTGAACAAACACAAAAAGATTGTTCATCTACAACAAATCAGTCTGATATAATATCAGTGACATATCAGTATAAAATTGCCTTAATTTTGAAAGATGCTAGCTATATAACTTCTTTCCTCTAGGCTTCAGATTTCTGGCTCTGTTTGAATGTGGCTTGATAGCTCATTGTTCATTGGCTTGTTGTTCCTCTGCTGGTCTTGGGGCAGTACGCAGCCTGGGATCAGTGTTGGCAACTTAGCGACTTTGTCGCTATATTTAGCGAGTATTCAGACCCCTCTAGCGACACGTGACATATCTAGTGTTATTGGAGACTTTTGGAGACTCTGGCGTGAAAGCACATATTGTTCTTACTCTTCACAGTCCTCAGGCAGCAGTCCCTCCCAGCTGCAGTCAGAGCAGGAAATGTTCACCCCTCCGCATCCAGACTGCAAATGAATCGCGCATGCGGGAAGCCGCCGCTGGCTGATCCCGCCCTGGCTTACATTCAGGGCGGGATGTAAATGTTAAATGTTCTTTGTCTAAAATAAATCACTGCACAAAAATAGATCACTGCATTTGACTCACACAGCCTCAGTCACTTACTCACTTTGTCCACTGTGTGTGTGCCTCTCTGTGACATAAGCTAAACATCTAGCTGGCTAGCTCATCATGTCTCAGTCTAAACTGTACACTCAAAAATACAGAAAGGAGTGGGAATCAAACCCTGAATTCAAAGTCTGGTTGAAGCCGTTTATTGGAGATGATACACGGGCATACTGTCTGTATTGTAAGGCTGATTTCTACGCCAAACTTAGTGATGTAAAAAAACACATGACAACTCAAAAACATACTCAAAAGGCAAAGCCTTATAACAGTTCCATCCAAAACAAGCTGCCATTTATGGTTAAAAAAATAGACTCTGCAAAAAAGGCTGAGGCCACCATGGCATTAGCTATCGCTGAACACTGTTCCATGCTGGCATGTGATCACATTGGAGAAGCATGTAGAGCTGCTTTCTCAGACTCCACTGCTACTACCCACTTCAAAATGCACAGGACAAAGTGCACTGAAATGATTAATGGTGTTCTCGCACCATACTTTCTGAAAAAGCCTCCTCCTCGATGAGTCCACGGATGTAAGTGTTTCTAAGTACCTGGGGGTTGTGATAAGGTACTTTAGTGACACCAAGCAGACAATTGTATCAACATTTCTGGGGCTTGTTGAGTTGGAGGGAGGAGATGCCAAATCTATAGCCTTTGCTGTTGTGGCTTTCCTCAAGAAGTGTTGTCTTAAAAAAGAGAAACTCCTGGGGATATGGACTGACAACGCCTCTGTTATGATGGGGATTAACAATGGGGTCCATAAAGTGCTGAAGGAGGAGTATGGCCTCAAAGATCTGGTTCTTATTCGCTGTGTGTGCCACTCTCTGCAGCTTGCTGTAAGTCATGCTTCCAATGACACCATCCCCCGTATTGTGGAGTATTTAGTACGAGAGACTTATAACTGGTTTTCAGTGTCTCCAAAGCGCAGGGAGGCCTACAAGGCCATATATGAGACCATCAACTGTGGGGAGAAACCTTTACAGATAACCAAGGTGTGTGCCACACATTGGATCTCCATTGAATCCGCAGTTTCACGCATTTTGGACCAGTGGGAGGAGCTTAGGCTGCATTTCTCAGTCACCAAGTCCAGTGAACACTGCTACATGGCTGAGGTTTTATACTCCATGTACAGTGATCCTCAAAACATATTGTATCAGACTTTTTGTAAGTCAGTGCTGGGTGAGGTACAGTTGGCTATCAAGGCTTTTGAGGGAGAGCAAGTAGATCCTCTTAAGCTACTTGACAGCTTGGTTAGCTTGATCAAGTCTGTGAGCAGCAGGGTGCTGAATCCACTGGCAAATGTTGATGTACTCAAAGGGCCAATAGATGGATACATCAGTCCCAAACCGTACCTTGGTTACCTTTTTGAGTCAAAGGCAGCTGAGCTCCACCTTGCACCTGAGGATGAAAACAATGTCCGAAAGCAGTGTGTAGCCTTCACCATCTCCCTCACTAATGAGTTGAGGGTGAGACTGCTGGGCAACATCAAAGCATTGCAGTACATGTCAGTTTTCAATGTGGAGGAAACTCTAAAGCACAATAAGAGCCCTGGAGAAATAGAAAAAATAGCCAAGCTCCTTGGCTACTCCCCTGCAGAGATAGACAAGATTGTCCAGCAATGGCGTGCCATCCATCTTAGTAAATGGAATGAGACAAAAAACACTGGGCTTCTGGAGTGAGATTTGGAAGTTCAGGGATGCAGCTGATATCAACCCGTTTCAAGAACTTGCCATGGCTGCTGTGTCTGTGTTGTCCTTGCCACACTCTAATGCTGAAGTCGAGAGAGTATTCAGCCAGATGTGTGTGGTAAAAAGCAAACTTAAAAAATCGGATGTCCTTGCAGACCCTTAACTCCATCCTGTACATTCGATATGGACTGAAGCTGTCTGGTGAGGCTTGCTATGAGCACCAGCTGCCTGAGAATGTTTTGCAGCTTTTTTGCACATCAGCTGCTTACTCATTTAAGTCAGCTCCCTCAGTTGCTGAACCTGCCATAGAGAGCCTTGACCAAAATGACGATGACCCACTCTTTCTGTGAGCCAGCACAGCCTGTGTGTGTGTGGAGGGGGGTCTGGAAAAAACAAACAGTTAGTTACCATCCTTTTCTCACATTGCCATTGACAGTTTTTTCTATTGTCTCTTTTTGGTCCATTTAGATTGTTAATGTAGATTGTATACTGTGACTTGTTGTAAGCTCCTAAGTGGACCATAAGGTTAAAAACCAAACTTAAGAAAACTAAACGAAAAAACGAAAAAAATATTTAAAACTAAATACCTCCGCCAGAGTGTCTCTTTTGGGTCACTTTTGCTGGTTCCAAGCCTGTATAAAGGAGGGTGGTTGAAAAAAACAAGAATCGACAGAAGAAAGTTAATTTGTAGTTCTAACCATATTTAGGGTGTTTTTTACTCACTTTTTGTCTCTCCCACGACGTCCATCACAATGACATGCACATGGGCAATTATGCAAATTAGGTGATGACGTCATTTTCTGGTGTTATTGGAGACTCTGACGTGCTATGTATCGTTCTTACTCTTCTCAACGAGCAGCGGGTGCTACGGGCCCCACCCCTGTCCCAAAGCACTCTTCAGGCGGCCCAGTCCTCGCGCAGCTTTTTACTCACTTTTTGTCTCACTCATGATGTTATTCCTCTCTCCTACAGCGTCCATCACAATTACATGCACATGGCCAATTATGCAAATTCGGCGATGACGTCATTTAGCGACTTCTAGCTACTTTTAGGACAGCCAATAGCTACTTTCCTTACTGAGGAGTTGGCGACGCTGCCTGGGATACAGGGCTGCCTGTCAGGCCCTGTTCAGGGCTTAAATGCCCACCAGCGATTTCTCTCCACATTTCCATAGTTCAGGTTATAGATGAACATTTAACCAGATCTTTCTTAACGATCTTGTTACGTTCTTTTGTCTTTGATGTAACATTGAAGTTATATCGTTCAATGTAGGAAGTTATGTCACATTTAAGTTGCTAAGCAACCAGTATTGTACACAAAGACAAGGCTCTGTTGACAGTTTGCCTGGTGTAGTAGCCATGTAACTGAACAGGAGCTAGGTAGCTCATGTCTCTGGATTTGGCGACTGCGAATGCAAGCCTTCTTTTCGCTACAACACTCCAACAGAACGTTATAGCTATGTCTTATAAAGGCTTTATAAACTGTAACAGTCGTGTCTCCAAAGAAGAGCAGGAGTTTTATGATTTAAAAAATAAAGCTGCTGAATATTATAGGGCAAACGGCGTCCCACAGAAGATGGAGGGTGTCCTGAACGACATGTTCTTTGATAAGCCCGATGATATTTACGGTTACCTGGTATGACTGCCAATGTATTGATTCCTGAACTGCTGACCAACATATTAGCATGCTTGCTATCTAGCTAGCTAAGTGAATGTTAAGTTAATCAGCTAACTTACTGGAGCCAGAAGTCATGTGTAAATGCGGGCAAGTGTTTGGGTGCTGAAATGCGTAGTTTTTGATAAAAACTCAATTTTATGTGATGTCGGAGCTCAAGTCTGCCCTAGTAGTGGCTGCTCAACTCCATCGTAAATCGTGGAGTTGAGTTTAGTCAGATAGCTAAGTTAGCTTCTGTAGCTGACTCAAGGGTAACGTTATTTAGTCTTAGCTTACCTTGTAAAACAAAACACAGCTATCAAACGTTAGCTAGCCAAAATTAATCGATGTTGGCTCTAGCCGAGCACTAGTGTTAGTTAACCCGATTTGCTAATCATCTGATGACCAAATCATGCCCTTGATTAGGCCTAGTTGAATCAGTAACGTTAATCCTGCTGGGCTGTGGCAGTGCAGTGCACCGGCTGGTGTCCAGGTTGTTGTTTCTTTCTGCTGTGATTATTAAAAGTTTTATGACATTTTCTAGGCAAATTACTTCTCAAAATTCTCAACGCCACCTGTGATAAGCAGACTATTGGGGAAAGAAATGTATGATGGAAAGGGTCAACTATCCATCCAGGCACAGGTCCTCTGCATCATTAAAAACGAAGAAAAGGTAAGTTCATTAGCAAGCTAGCTAGCGAGTTCTGTTTTCCTTGTACTAGGTTCTTTTCAGTTTTGTGCATCCTCTCCTTGTTGGAAATTGAAGTAGCCGACTCACTTCCCAAATGTTCAATTCATATAGCCAAATGTGTGATCAATTTGTGTAGAGGTTGCAATAGGCAGTGGTGGAAAAAGTACCCAATCGTCATACATGAGTAAAAGTGAAGATGCCTTAATAGAAAATGACTCAAGTAAAAGTGAAAGTCACCTTGTAAAATCTTACTTGAATAAAAATATAAAAGTATTTGGTTTTAAATATACATAAGGATCAAAAGTACAATATACTTAAGTATCTTAAGTAAAAGTAAAAGTATAAATCATTTCAAATTCCTTATATTAAGCAAACCAGACTGCACCATTTTCTTGTTTTTATTTGTTTACAGATAGCCAGGGGCACACTCCAACACATCATTTACAAATTAAGCATGTGTTTAGTTGATCAGCCAGATCAGACACAGTAGGGATGACCAGGGATGTTCTCTTGATAATAAGTGTGTGAATTCGACAATTTTCTGTCCTGCTAATCATTGGAATTTGAGACATAACAGTATAGTAATGTTTGACATGACAGTATCGGGGCTCTTCAGCCATACAGGGAACGCTAATGTGAAGAGGCAGCTGGGGAAACAAGCAGGCTAGGAGGGTAGTGATCAGAGGACAGCCACTGACCCCTGCCCCTTGCCATTTCAGTTTTTCAGTATTTTAGGCTGGGGAAGTGAGATGTGACTCCATGAATTGAGGGCAGAGCAAGGCTACCAAAGAAACATAATCATGAACTATCAGTTCTTACTAACAGTTGCCTCTACAAAGCCTGGGTATTAATTTACATCAGACTGTGCTGAGGCCAGCAGTTTTATACTGAACAAAAATATAAATGCAACATGCAACAATTTCAAAGATTTGATTGAGTTACAGTTCATAGAAGGAAATCAGTCAATTCAAATAAATTAATTAGGCCCTAATCTATGGATTTCACATGTAATAATAATAATAATAATAATAATAATAATAATAATATGCCATTTAGCAGACACTTTTATCCAAAGCGACTTACAGTCATGCTTGCATACATTTTTTTTTTGTGTATGGGTGGTCCCGGACTGGGCAGGGGTGCAGCCATTGGTGGGCCTGGGAGGGCATAGGCCCACCCACTGGGAAGCCAGGCCCAGCCAATCAGAAGTAGTCTTTCCCCACAAAAGGGCTTTATTACAGACAGAAATACTCCTCAGCACCCCCCCCCCCCCCCTCCCCCTCCTCAGACGATCCCGCAGGTCCTGGCCCGGCGTGGTTACACGTGGTCTGCGGTTGTGAGGCCGGTTTGATGTACTGCCAAATTCTCTAAAACTACGTTGGAGTCGGCTTATGGTAGAGAAATGAACATTAAATTATCTGGCAACAGCTCTGTTAGACATTCCTGCAGTCAGCATGCCAATTGCACACTCCCTCAAAACTTGAGACATCTGTGGCATTGTGTTGTGTGACACAACTCCACATTTTAGAGTGGCCTTTTATTGTCCCCAGCACAAAGTGCACCTGTGTAATGATTATGCTGTTTAATCAGCTTCTTGCTGATATGCCACACCTATCAGGTGGATGGATTATCTTGGAAAAGGAGAAACACTTTACATGTTGCGTTTATATTTTGTTCAGTATAGATCCGACACAGAAACCCTCTCTCACAGTCAACAGAGAAAAAACTTGGCGTAAGGGACATAGTAGTGGCTTTAGCAGCCTTTAGAGTGATGCTCTTGGATTATTACCATGCCCATTTGGCAGATACAGTGAGATGGCTGATGGTAATTTGCCATAACAGGGAACAGCGAGGCTAATGGTTAACCTAAAGGGAGAGAGAGAGCGAGAGAGGAGAGTGGATATTAACTCAGATAGTCCACCTTCTAACCATGCTGCTGGCTTCAGGTCAGTGGGAGGTGCCTGTGTCAGCGCTGCCTGCTTCAGTACTCATCACAGTCTGGGACCGCTCTAAGATGGCAGCCGAGGCAGAGGGAGGCACAAATCCAAATCCTTTACTTTCCCGCTTCAGTGCAACATTTGAATTGTTTCACACATTGGGCCATGTTAAATCAGTGCAGAGTGCAATGCTTTTGACTTCAGCTGTTTTTGATTGACTTATTACACAGTGACACTTAGGTTAAACCAAAACAAATCTCTATTGTTTGTTGACATTGGGCCCGATTCAGACTTAGGAAATGTATGCCTTTCATACGCCTTTCTTTCATACTTCTTAGTAGTTGGTATTCAGACTTACCTTGTGAAAGTGCATAAAGGGCTTTGCAGGCGTGGTTCCCTTGCGCGTGCTGTATAAATGTAATTCAACTGCTGAAAACCCTCCCGCTTACTGGACAACAGATGTTCTCATGGAGTTTTCATTCAATAGGGTTTTCAGTGCATTTATCTAAAGCCATCCGTTTAAATTTTTTGGAAAGACCCACATATAATGGTGCCGGAGGAGATGGCTGCCGTTTTACGGGCTCCTAACCAATTATGCTATTGTGTTTGTTTTTTTGCGTTATTTGTAACTTATTTTGTACATAATGTATTTGCCACCGTATCTTATGATCGAAAAGAGCTTCTGGATATCAGGACAGCGATTACTCACCTCGTACTGGACGAAGATTTTTTCTTTAACGAGTCGGACGCAAAGGATTTAATTCAGACACCAGACAAGGCCCAAATCCCTGTCATTCGCATGAAGAAGAGACGGAGATATCAGGGACTTTGGTCGGGGTGCCTTGTAAGGATCCGACGGCAAGTGGGTAATCTGCCTCTACCATCAGTCCTATTAACCAACGTACAATCTTTGGATAATAAAATGGATGACCTCCGATCAATAATATCCTACCAACGGGAATTAAAAAACTGTAATATCTTATGTTTCACCGTGTCGTGGCTGAACGACGACATTGATAACATAGAGCTGACGGGGTTTTCGGTGCATCGGCAAGATAGAACAGGTGCCTCCGGTAAGACAAGGGCTGGCGGTCTGTGTATATTTGTAAATAACAGCTGGTGTACAAAATCTAATATTAAGGAAGTCTCAAGGTTTTGCCTGCCTGAGTTAGAGTATCTCGTGATAAGCTGTAGACCACACTATTTACCAAGAGAGTTTTCATCTATATTTTTCGTAGCTGTCTATTTACCACCACAAAGGCCATAAGCAAACAAGAAAATGCTCATCCAGAGGCGGCGCTCCTAGTGGCCAGGGGCGTTAATGCAGGGAAACTTTTACCTAATTTCTACCAGCATGTTAAATGTGCAACCAGAGGGGAAAAAACTCTAGACCCCCTTTACTCCTCACACAGAGACGCGTACAAAGCTCTCCCTCGCCCTCCATTTGACAAATCTGACCATAATTCTGTCCTCCTGATTCCTGCTTACAAGTAAAAACTAAAGCAGGAAGTACCAGTGACTCAGTTAATAAGGAAGTGGTCAGATGACGCAGATGCTAAGCTACAGGACTGTTTTGCTAGCACAGACTGGAATATGTTCCGGGATTCTTCCGATGGCATTGAGGAGAACACCACATCAGTCACTGGCTTCATCAATAAGTGCATCGGTGACGTCGTCCCCACAGTGAGCGTATGTACATACCCCAACCAGAAGCCATGGATTACAGGCAACATCTGCACTGAGCTAAAGGGGAGAGCTGCCACTTTCAAGGAGTGGGACTCTAACCCGGACGCTTATAAGAAATCCTGCTATGCCCTCCGACGAACCATCAAACAGTTAAAGCGTCAATACAGGACTAAGATTGAATCGTACCACACCGGCTCCGACGCTCGTCGGATGTGGCAGGGCTTGCAAACTATTACGGACTACAAAGGGACGCACAGCCGCGAGCTGCCCAGTGACACAAGCCTACCAGACGAGCTAAATTACTTCTGTGCTCGCTTCGAGGCAAGCAACACTGAAGCATGCATGAGAGCATCAGCTGTTTCAGATGACTGTGTGATCACGCTCTCCGTAGCCGATGTGAGTAAGACATTTAAACAGGTCAACATTCACAAGGCCGCAGGGCCAGACGGATTACCAGGACGTGTACTCCGAGCATGCGCTGACCAACTAGTAAGTGTCTTCACTGACATTTTCAACCTGTCCTTGACTGAGTCTGTAATACCAACATGTTTCAAGCAGACCACCATAGTCCCTGTGCCCAAGAACACTAAGGTAACCTGCCTAAATGACTACTGACCCGTAGCATTCACGTCTGTAGCCATGAAGTGCTTTGAAAGGCTGGTCATGGCTCACATCAACACCATTATCCCAGAAACCCTAGACCCTCTTCAATTTGCATACCTCACCAACAGATCCACAGATGATGCAATCTCTATTGCACTCCACACTGCCCTTTCCCACCTGGACAAAAGGAACACCTACGTGAGAATGCTATTAATTGACTACAGCTCAGTTTTCAACACCATAGTGCCCTCAAAGCTCATCACTAAGCTAAGGACCCTGGGACTAAACACCTCTCTCTGCAACTGGATCCTGGACTTCCTGATGGGCCGCCCCCAGGTGGTAATGGTAGGTAACAACACATCTGCCACGCTGATCCTCAACACGGAGGCCCCTCAGGGGTGTGTGCTCAGTCCCCTCCTGTACTCCCTGTTCACCCATGACTGCATGGCCAAGCACGACTCCAACACCATCATTAAGTTTGCCGACGACACAACAGTGGTAGGCCTGATCACCGACAACGATGAGACAGCCTATAGGGAGGAGGTCAGAGACCAGGCCGTGTGGTGCCAGGATAACAACCTCTCCCTCAAGGTGATCAAGACAAAGGAGATGATTGTGAACTACAAGACATGGAGGACCGAGCACACCCCCATTCTCATCGACAGGGCTGTAGTGGAGCAGGTTGAGTATTTCAAGTTCTTTGGTGTCCACAAAATATCATGGTCCAAACACACCAAGACAGTCATGAAGAGGGCACGACAAAGCCTATTCCCCCTCAGGAGACTGAAAAGATTTGACATGGCTCCTCAGATCCTCAAAAAGTTATACAGCTGCACCATCAAGAGCATCCTGACTGGTTGCATCACCGCCTGGTATGGTAACTGCTCGGCCTCCGACCGCAAGGCACTACAGAGGGTAGTATGTAAGGCCCAGTACATCACTGGGGCCAAGCTTCCTGCCATCCAGGACCTCTATACCAGGCTGTGTCAGAGGAAGGCCCTAAAAATTGCCAAAGACTCCAGCCTATGCATAGTCACTTTACCTCTATCCACATATACATATTACCTCAATTACCTCGACTAACCTGTGCCCCCGCAGGTACAGGTACCCCCTGTACCCCCTTACTGCTGCTCTTTAATTATTATTATATATATATATATATTTTTTACTTATATATTTTTTACTTAACACTTACTTTTCTTAAAACTGCATTGTTGGTTAAGGGCTTGTAAGTAAGCATTTCACTGTAAGCTCTACACCTGTTGTATTCGGCACGTGACAAATACAATTTGATTTGATTTAGAAAATATGTAGAGAACGGTTCAGAATATTAGGGATCATATTAAGAAAAGCCATGTATGCCTAAATACATGCATATTCGTCTCCTTTTCAGCACCAATTGGTAGATAAAAAAATACTCTGATCTATATTATTGAAGGTTAGGAAAGTATTCATGAATAATAATAAAAAACAGGTTTGGACAGCCTTTATGCACAAAATATATTGGTGAATCAAAAAACGGTGTTTCGATTCATCCTGAAAGTTGCCATATTCAATTGTTCAACCATGAAATATTGGAAGGTGAGAAAAGTGTACAAGAGGGGTTGAACAGTAGCCCTATAAATCTACCCTAATAATCCTCACTAATCATGGAACTGTGATGACAACGGTCCAGTCGACGTGAACTGTGTGCCCCAGGCTCCAGGTTTAAACTGCTATGTATGGTCTGCGTTCCATAATGATTCAAATAGGCTACATGTCCCAAATTATTGCACAATTTGTAATACGTTAGTCTAATATGATCCACTATTGCTAGCGATCCTCAGGAACTACCACACGAACATGAATGAGGAAAGAAAGGTAAACTAACGATGTAATGAAATGATGCAAAATGTAAGGAAACTAACACTAAAGTGACAGTTATAAATGTATGTGGGTATAACTGACGGTGGCTACCGATAGTGGCTAATATTTAACACGATACAAATTGTAAAGCATACAGTGAAAAGTCAGGGCATATAATTAAAACCTTCTAGAAATCATAAATCAACTCGGTAGGTTTGGCGCTATACGGTAATTTGCGCATGGCTACAGAAGCATATAGCTTGTGTCTCCAAACTTCATCTTTGCAAGTTATAAGGCCAGCATTTCATAAAATTCACAGTGGAAAAGGTAATATGTTGATATGCTTCAGTTTGCTGCCATATGACTGGTTTCACATTTATCTCCAGCGATCATAAGATAGGCCTAAAATAGATCTAAAACAATTGTCATTTATATTTACAATCCCATTATCCAAACGGCTTACTCATTCACCTAGCTCTTTTCAAGAGCTGTTATCAATTTGTAAATTACAGTTCATGGAGAATGGTGTTATTTCTAAATGGAAAAGGTGGAGGTATCTGTAGACACATCTCCGCCACACCTTCATTTATTTGATCTCCACCCCAAATGAATAGCTGGTGTTAGCATGCTATTCTCATGCTTAAGTTCAAGGTCAGAAGCATGGAGATAAAAGTGTATAAAAAAGGAACTACGTTCCATTTACGCACGCTTAACTCGGGTCGGAATTCCCCCCCATATGAATAGACATATGATAATCATTTGTTGGTATTGGAGGAGTGACCATAGTGCAATTTTTTTAAAATATCACTATGGAAGTGACATTCAGAACTTTATGGTTTCCATGTGATGTTGGCACAAGGATTGAGTAAAGTCTCTGTTCATTATGGTAAAAGTTGTTACAGACCGTTACTGTATATCATGGTATCCCTAGGACTATTGTAGATTATGTAGTAGACAGCATCATCATTCTTCTAAAAGGCGTCATAGTAGGTTTTGCCTCACTGTCCACCCATTGCTTTTTCTTGCTAAAATGTCCCCCTTGTCTTTGTGTTTAGACAACATGTTCTGCGGTGATATCAAGCCACAGTGAGGTCCTCGACAACAGTTTCCAGGACCCAAGTGGTGTGACCAATATCAACAATGATAAGAGGAGGGATTCTGTGATGGCCGCTCTCCACTGGATCGATGAATCACTGAACACAATCCTAAAGGGCTCTGATCCCTGCGACCAGACAGGAGTGGATAAAATACTTAGGTACGCATCCTCTCTAAAGTTCTGTGCACAGATATGTTTGTGAAACAAGTAGTTGTCAATACTGAAAGTCAAGATATTGGTGATTAATGATTATCAGATATTATTAGCAGACTGCAGAAATATTTTTTTACAGGTATTGTTGGATATTTAACTAATAACTATAAAAACAAGCTTGCCGAAATACCCCCAGGTCTATTAAATTAAGTCAAGGTCAATGTTTGATGAATCATAGCATAATCAAAACAGAGTTAGTCTAGACCAGGGGTGTCAAACTCAATCAGCGCACGGGCCATATTGAAAAATCTAATCAAAAATATTGACCCTAATAAAAACGTTTTTAATAACTCCAAATAACAAAAACGTATCTAGGTTGTAACATTTAAACTTAAAATATGTTTGTCATTTTTTGGCACTGCATGGATCACAGGTGCGGTTGAATGCAGCATTGCTATATGGTGCACTCAGAATGTCTTGTAGTTGAGTAGCAACATTTTAGTAGCCTAGCTAGGACTGTGTACACTTTCCCTCTGCTGCGCGTTGTAAACCGGTCACACATGAAAGCAGCGCAAATGACATTGAATTCACCCAATGCAAGTGCATCAGGCTGTAATTTCATAAAGTAGATGACTCAACTGTTTACATATTTATACTCGCTGTGTGTCCTATTGTCCTTCCGCGTGTGTGTGAATCCTTTATCTTTTAACTTTTTGACAACCAAGATGACATTTTCTGTAGGCTACAGCAATGACCCGTTAGAACTGAAACTTGGCATGAACATTTAGCCTACAACATGTTTAAAGTTTTGGTCCGGTAGAACATTAGGTTGATGGTGTGTGGGTCTGGGAGGAGGGGGGTGTGTGGAATATTTTTCATCTTTGTCTCCTCAAGTTGGATGGCATAGCTTGTAGTGCCAAGGCTTGTATTACAGTGCATGCATATTAGATTATTTGTAAGACATGGCGTTTCTCCAAGTGGCAGCATTAGCTGTAATGATCACATAATATGATCTCACAGAGATTGGCATCCCTGGGGAGTCATGAGGGCACTAGGTTAGAGGGAGGAGTGGTCACTGCTTAGCTTTACCCCTGACCCTAGCGCAGACTGTGCCAAGATGCCAAAGCCTAGCATGGCATTGCCCTATGCTGAACTGCTGTCGTTCTCTCCTCTTGGCAGAACTGCAATATCGAATTAGATACCCTTGCCTAAAGGGTATTGCGTTAATGATACAAACATGAAAGTCATACAATTTTCAGCTAGGTTGTTTCTGAAAAAGTCTTGATTTGGTATACACTGAGTGTACAAAACATTAGAAACACCTTCCTAATGTTGAGTTGCAACCCCTTTTGCCCTCAGAACAGCCATGATTTGGAAAGGCACACACCTGTCTATATAAGGTCCCAAGTTAATAAATAGCTTTTTGTGAATTTTCATTGTTGGACATAAAAGACTAAAAACACCAGGAAATCAGCTCCAAGTCATTTTAATTAGGGACATCTGTTCCAAAGGATTCCCACGCATAATAGAGAGATACTGTATATGTTATCATATACAAATGTAAGCAAGGTTTGAAATTATTATGTTTTTAGTCAAACATTATGTCTGTTTGGCAGGGCCGGTCCTGGCCATTCTATCCCGAGCCAGACCAAAAAAAATGCCAATAGTCCCAGTAAGCAAAATGATGTTGAAAAGACGTCTAAAATACGTATTTTTCCAGACGTTGAAGTTAGGTTAAATTTAGGTTCTACATTTACGTCATTTAGCAGACGCTCTTATCCAGAGCGACTTACAGGAGCAATTAGGGTTAAGTGCCTTGCTTAAGGGCACATCGACAGATTTTTCACCTAGTCGGCTCGGGGATTAGAACCAGCGACCTTTCGGTTACTGGCACAACGCTCTTACCCACTAAGCTACCTGCCGCCCTGAATGAAAGGTGAAAATAAGTATTTTCCAGACGTTGAAATCAGGTAAATTTTCGGTTCTGAATGAACGTTGAAAAGACTTCATTTATAGACATCTATGTTTGCGCCAAATCAAGGCTGGATGTCTATGATTGGTTCAGATTTGTTCTGGGCCGGACCAAAATCCAACGTCCGTGGACGTGGAAATCAAGGCCGGTATATCACACACTGCAGTTGAGGAACAATGGTAAAGTAATTCTGCTTTGAAAGTTGATAAACTTGTAACCCCGCTTTTGAGAAAATGGGCCTTGAATGTTTTGGTACACCTACTGGAGAGCCCTTCTTTGTCTACACCTATTCAGCATCGTTCACACCCTCTTAAGCTTTAGCCCCACCCATCTCTTTAAGATCAACAACCAAAAATGTCTAAACTAAAAGTGGTGAAAGTAGTAGCCTACAATAAGGAAAAACTCCAGGTAAAAACACTTTATCTAGCCCTTGGCCTATATCATAATTTGACTTAAATTTAAAGTGTCCAGATAAAAATATTGTATAATATTATATAATTATTAGATGATGCTTACCCAGACACTTGTCTAAATTGATGGGTAATGTGAAAGAAATGCTATAACCACCCCCAGCCACATCTAGCTAAGTGGATGGGTCACTATTGTCAAGACATGTACACATGTTCATCAAATACAATAGATGGCCGTAGTCACCCCCAGACACACCTGGTTAACTTGATGGGTCATGTAATCATTCTCTTGCCAAGTGGAGTCTTTTGTTAAGACATGTAGCTAGTTAGCTAGCTAAACAATGAACCATAATCCCAACCCATAGCTACAGTACAAACAGATTGGCATAGCTAGCCACCATCCATGAAATGCTGGAGTATGAATCTGCAGGTACACAGCTAACCAACTAGGTTCAATGTTAACTAGCTAGCTAGCTAACATTAGGCTATAACTAGCAATGCAAATTGATTTTCTGAGATAAAAATAATATTACTACACAGATCATACACGTAATGTCAGCTAGCGAGGCACCAAGCTAACTTTCGCAACCTAGCGAACAGTCCGCTTTAACTTGCAATGAAAACGACTTTCTGATAAAATTTGAAAAGTATAATATCTGAAAATGTAGCTAGACTCTTACCCGTATACATGGATGAACGCTTCACGGCAGCGTGTCTTTTCCGTTTGGTTTGTAGCTAGCTACAGCTTGTTTGGCCCGGTGTTGTGTCAAGTCACTCCGGTCAACCATGTGCAGAAAATAACGTTAGTCCATCACAACTTTTTTCCCATTGATCTTTGTCAGTAGCGCCTGCTAAATTCTGCAGTTCACAATGGCTAACATTATATCTTTCAAAAAAGCCGCAGTAGCAAGGATTATCTACACATACTGAGCAGCTCATGTTATAGACAAATGCGTGTTACATGCAGACCAATCCGAACTCATCTTTCGGCATGTTCAGCCCAGCCATTATCTCAGCCAATCATGGCTAACGGGAGGGTTCCTGTCTTTTTCCTTGGCTAAACCAACTAGGCTCTTAATTTAACCATTTTATTTGTATTTACAGATGGCATACAAGTTTGTTATTAAGGCACATGAAAGTTCAAATATTCCAGAAGGCATTTCAGCCAACAAACGCATAAAAAATAAATAAATAAAATCTTAAAATGTCTCTCCTGTGAAGTAGTGGCGTGCGACATACGCCTTGCTTCTTGAAACGGGTCACATTTGTAAAACACCAAAAAAAGACGTTGCCCGTGCTGGGGTGTAGCAATGGAATTTTATGAATGCCCATAGATTGCATGAATGCCCATGGATGTGGTAGCCCTACCATTTGTAAAACAGGCTGTTGCATTGGCTTTATTAGTCCTGATTCCTGTGACTAATCAATTTGTCTATTTAAGCTCTGAATATCAGCTACCCAACTTTATCAGGAGGAGTTATCCTGAGCATATTTGCAATGTGTTTACACAGCGGGAAATGCAGAAGTATTTGTATTTATTTTTCGCTATGATCAGCTCGTAAAAAATTGACAGATACATACTTGAAACCACTGATCATGACAATTTAGCCCACGGGATGACAAGACAGCAGTTGTGAGTAGCCTGATTGTCCATTCCATATTGTCCATTTTACTTTGACCTGTCCTGTTTTTAGGATATGTTGTTTGTTAACATGTCCGCTAATTTTTTATTTGATTCGGTGTCATTTAGGTAAGGCTATTGTCATACATTTTATCTCCAGCCTGTAGGCTACAGAAAAGGGCCCATACTCATTCTACCATATGCTATATCTGCTATATGATTTATGTTAGATTCGTTCTTTGATGGAATGTTGGTGGAGCGCTGCAGTGATGCGTCTCTCCAACAGCACACTGGAGATGCACGCTGGAAATGGACATGATAAATATTTTGCATCCCTTTCTTTGACAAAGTGGGCACTGCTTATCACAGGGCGGCATCAGCGCTCACTTAAAAAGCCCACATGCCACTGGTTGAGAGAAATGGTCTGTTTTTGGGCAGAATTATGGGAGGTTTTATGTGTTGTTGGAGGTGCGTCTTGGTCAGTTTAGCTCAGAAAATGCCGCCCTTGTCAATCTGCCGCCATGTCAGAGCCAATCATATCGTTACAGTTTTCTTATTGGCCCCTTTTTACCATCCTTACATAAACCAATAGAGATGCCCATGCGGCCTGTGAGTATTTATTGGGGAAGGGGGGGGATGTCATCCAACCTGTTCTATTTAATTGAAGTAACAGCAGGGTTGCCTTTGCACATAGTTTGGGATGTACTGGAGCCTTTAACCTCCTGTTAGTTATGATCATAAACACAGTGGATTAGCATGATAGTAGAGCTGGGAGATATGGACAAAAATCCATATCACGATAAATTCACTGAATTATAACGATAACTGTGCACCACAGTTATGTTGTTTATATTACCCTTAAAACTACTACTACTACTTTGAATGATGTAGCTATCAATTGTCCCATTAACAATCACCCATATTAGCAAACTTTCGTTTAATTTCAAACTTCACATTTCTCTAGTAGGGTTATTTATTTAAAGAGGTTATTTATCGTAATGAACGATATCAATAAAATGTCCACGATAAGTGGTTGGTTTGGTTGGTGTCGATAATTTTCAGTTTATCTTCCCAGCTCGACATGACTGCCTCCAAAAATATTAGCCTACACGTTTCAAACATATAAACTGAAAATAAGACCCTGTGCTTTGTTTTTACATACCCAATCAAGCATGTTTTTTTTTAGCAAGGAAGCTTGTTTACTCTGTACCTCTAGAAATACCATTAAGCCTAGTTCAGAAATAATTAGAAATCATAAACATTTTGAGATTTTTTTATGATGGCTCTGTAATAGCAAAGACTGAACATAGTTTGCTGTCCTCTCTCAAATGCAATGCTCTGGTAATTCTGGTGTCACATAAGGATTGTCCAAGTTTTCGATGTCCAAGTTCTCCTATTATACAATTGCTCATCCAAGGGTAAAATAAACCCTTGTCCTGATCAACCCCATAGTGTCATGCATGCTGCTTTTGATAACTATATGCTGCTCCTGTGGATGAAGGCCAAGTGGTATTTGTTTTGTGTGGCAGTGATTTCTTCATGGCCCGCTACCTGGAGGACCAGGACATCCGGAACAGAGAGAAGGAGAATCAGCCACCTAGTGTGTCTGTGCCTGAGCCGTCCCCTCCCACCGCACCCCCCAAAGACAAGAAGGGTGGAGACAAAGGTAACGAACCTCACCCCTGGGCCAGCCTGCCAGATAATCTGACATCACATCATATTACCACTGGATGCTTTTCTTTCAAAACATTAGCTTGTTCTCGATAAAATACAGCAGAGGGACCATGTGTATGTTTGAATTATGCATAAAGAAATGTGCTCGTGCTCAGAGGTCATGTGCAGGTTAAGTGTTCCTCTGAAGTTTCCACCTGGGAGACACATTGAGAGGTGTTATTTTAAGAGCTCTGCCAGTATTCGGTCTGAGCTCCACAGAGAAGTCTCGGTTGAAGCGCTGGTCCAATGCACTCATGTCTCTTACTTATTTCCGTAGTGGTCCCCCTGTGGTAAACCGTCTCCTCCTCCCCTCTCTAGTGACAGATAAAGCCCACTGTGTGTTGTAAAAGAGTCCCTGTGGGAGGCCTGGCCTCTCAGACAGTCACTGTGGGAAATTATTCTTCCTCTCAAGTTGTGTAACAACATTGAGGCAGATAAAGTTTGTTTCTGGTTTTCCAGGCAAAAAAGGCAACAGCACAGAGAAGCCCATCCCGCCTCCAGAGCCCTCAGAGCTGGTCGTGCCTGGCTGCATGGCCATTGGTTCAGTGTCCTTGGCTGTGGCCAAGACTGGGGCTCTACTACAATGCATCCCCCTGTACAAGTACATCAAATCTCTGACAAACCAACAAGTCAGTGAGCCCCCCTTTCAACACGCACACCTGCACACACAGAAATACACCATGCAATGTGACGTAGGTCATTGATCAGGAATGATAGGCCTAAAGGCAGATACTATATGTGTGGGTGTAGGGCGGCTCTTTCATCTAGTTGTCATACAAAACATGTAGGTCGTTTTTTTTTTTAAGTGTCAGAAGCGCTGACTAAGATTATTGACCATCTTCTCTTGACTCGGCCATATAATGTCCAAAATCTGCTACTGTAACTAAAGTGTTCATTAATACCTCACCAAGTCTTTTAAGTCTCACTATGCTTTTTCTTTACTTTAACAGCCGTGTCCAAAAGAGATGCACATCCCCGTCCCCTTGGTAACTTTGTTGAGCTGTGGCAAGATGTCCCCAGGAAAACTCAATTTACTGGAGGAGGTCATTGTCATCCCTAAAGCTGGACAAAGACTCAAACAAGTATTGACACTCACAACCACAACATCCTTTCAGCTTTTATTCTCCCATTTCAAGTTACACACTTTGTCCTCGATGTGCCCAGTATTACAGGGAGAGTCTATCAAAACTCAGGTTTATTCTTTGTGTTTTATCTGGACACTTATATTTAAGAAATTTAGCAGACGCTCTTATCCAGAGCGACTTACAGTAGTGAGTGCAGACATTCGTACTGGTCCCCTGCTTGAATCGAACCCACAACACTGCCGTTGCAAGTGCCATGCTCTACCAACTAAGCCACACACGACCATACAGGACTAATTGAATACTAGTCTTGAGAGTGTCGAGGTTAAGTCAACCAATGTTCCTGATTGTTTTCAAACATAGCACATTTTCTCTGCCAAGCTTTGGTATTACATAGTTTAAAGAAACATTTATCTTAAACAGTCTGTGAACTCCCCCAACAGATCATTACAATGGTCCTTGAGCTTCAAAAGGAGATGATGAAAATAATGAACACTGCTTCAAAAACAGGGGTAAGGAACATTGCGGCAGATCCTTGTATAGTGGATCTACTGTACAGTATAGGGTGCTATTTGTCGCACAGTTGAGTCAGGGTCTACAGTACATGTTGTTTTTCCTACTCTACCTTCTAGAAAACAAAGCAAATACATTTAGGTGGTTATAGATATGTTACCTTTTTATTTATTTCTAAGACTGAATATATATTACTTTTTACAACTTTTGTTGTGTTACAGCCTGAATTGAAAATGGATTAAATTGACGTTTTATGTCACTGGCCTACACACAATACCCCATAATGTCAAAGTGGAATTATAATTTTAGCATTTTTTTTACAAATTAATTAAAAATGAAAAGCTGATATGTCTTGAGTCAATAAGTATTCAACCCCTTTGTTATAGAAAGCCTAAATAAGTTCAGGAGTAAAAATCTGCTTAACAAGTCACATAAGTTGCATGGATTCACTTTGTGTGCAAAAATAGTTTTTAACGTGATTTTTGAATGACTACTTCATCTCTGTACCCCACACATACAATTATTTGTAAGGTCCCTCAGTCGAGCAGTGAATTTCAAACACAGATTGAACCACAAAGACCAGGGAGGTTTTACAATGCCTCGCAAAGAAGGGCACCTATTGGTAGATACATAAAAATAAACAGACATGGAATATCCCTTTGAGCATAGTGAAGTTATTAATTACACTTTGGATAATGTGCACCCAGTCACAACAAAGATACAGGCGCCCTTCCTAACTCAGTTGCTGGAGAGGAAGGAAACCGCTCAGGGATTTCACCATGAGGCCAATGGTGACTTTAAAATGGTTTAAAAAAAATAAGCAAACACGTTTGGTGTTCACCAAAAGGCATGTGGGAGACTCCCCAAACATATGGAAGAAGGTACTCTGGTCAGATGAGACTAAAATTGAGCTTTTTGGACATCAAGGAAAACGCAAACCCAACACCTCTCAATTCCAATGTAAGGCAACAAAATAGGAAAAATGCCAATACTTTCGCAAGCCACTGTATCTAATTAAGTAAGCATTTCACTGTAATGTCTGCACCTGTTGTATTCGGCGCATGTGGCCAATAAAATTTGATTTGATTTGATTAAATTAAGATATATTAGTGTTTTTTTTTTTTTTTTTTTTTTTTTTTTACAGATGTTATAATCGTTCTTCCACTATGACATTACAGAGTATTTTGTGTAAGTCCTTGACAAAAAATGACAATTAAACCCATTTTAATCCCACTTTGTAACACAACAAAATATGGAAAAAATCAAGGGGTGTGAATACTTTATGAAGGCACTGTATACATTACATGAAAACTTCAATCAATTCAATGCCGTCTGTTTATGGTTAAGCACTAGTTGCACTATCAAACTGCAAAGATGATCCAGCACTCTCCACAGATATAGGTATATTATTAACGATTCACTTTGTGTACATTTATGATGGCTGACTAAACATTCCTTCTCTCTTTCCAGCCTGTACTGCCAACAGTGTCTGACTCTGGAGCCTTAGTTGTTGGGTATGAGCGTCCTGAGCAGCCTCTAGATCTAATTACTGAAGCATCTAACAATCTTGGATTGGCACTTGGAAAGGGGATCCATTTGGCAGTAAACTGTGCTGCTCACAACCTAATGGACTATGTATGTAAACAGAATGTTTAAACATGAAGAGTGTGCCCTTGCACAATGAGTACAATTATATTTATTAATTCTATCTTTGCTCCTCTACAGCCAAAAGGAAAGTATGAAGTTATTACAGGAACACCCAAGTCTCCTGATGAACTAGTGGACATGTATGAGGCTTTGATTAGTAAATACCCAGCGGTCGTAGCCCTGATCGATCCTCTGCGAAAAGAGGTAAGACGTGAACACAGCTCCGAACACAATACCGCAGTAAACGAAAGACGTGTTGGTGAGTACAGATGTGCTTGTAGAAACTCATGGTGTGTGACCCCTGTGTAAGGATGTGGAGCAGTGGGAGAGACTGAGCAGTGTGGTTGGAGCCTCGTGTAGCCTGCTCTCTGACATCTCCTCCAAGCCCCAGTGTCACAGCACACGGGATGATGCCCCATCTCTTCCAGGGGTCAGAGGGTATATACTCAATCAGAGCAATGAGACCACAGTCACCGACCTGATCCATGTCACCACAGAGAACAAAGGTAAGGGAGCCAATGATGGAGTCAGTTTTACATAGAGCTATTGTTTAATAATACATGACTCATTGTCCTATTGTAAGTCAAATGTATAGTATGCATAGTTTTATGGATGGAATGTCAAATCCATGCTAGTGGAATTAGCCTACATATTGGCCAGATTGACCTAAATTATGTGACGTCATAACATCAAATCTGAATAGACACAGTGTATATGACAGAGATGGAACAAAACATGTTTACTGAGAGATGGGGTGAGTTCACCCTCACGCTGACTTACATGGTTGCTCTGATGGATTCTGTTGGATGAATCTTTTAGACGTCTTTTCCAGATGTTGACGTCGGGTGCATTTTAGGTGCTGAATGAAAGGTGCAATGGTGTATTCTACGGATGTCGAAAAGACGTCTGTTCCGGACATGGAAAATACATATTTTCTGGACATTGAAATCCGGTGCTTTTTAGGTGCTGAATGAAAATACATAATTTACAGATGTTGAAAATACGTATTTTTCTGTCATTAATTCTATGGCAAAATTTCAACTGCACATACATTCTCAATGAAGTAAGCATTATATCAAAATAATACTTTTTCAAGCCTCTTAATATAAGATAGAGGAGCCAACTGAAGATTGCAACAGAATATTTATTATATCTGTCACATGGACTTATGTTAGCTTTTTCAAAAGCAGTGATGATGTTCAAAGTAGTCAAACCTACAGAATAAACCAACAGACCACTTCAAGGACAATAACATTCTTAATAAAGGTTACAGACACTATATACAAAAGTATGTGGACACCCCTTCAAATTAGTGGATTCGGCTATTTCAGCCACAGCTGTTGCTGACAGGTGTATAAAATTGAGCCATGCATACACAGCCATGCAATCTCCATAGACAAACATTGGCAGTAGAATGGCCTAACTGAAGAGCTCAGTGACTTTCAACATGGCACCGTCACAGGATGCCACCTTTCCAACAACTCAGTTTGTCAAATTTCTGCCCTACTAGAGCTGCCCTAGTCAACTGTAAGTGCCGTTATTGTGAAGTGGAAATGTCTAGGAGCAACAAGTGGTAGGCCACACAAGCTCACAGAATGGGACCGGCCAAGTGCTGAAGAGCCTAGCGCGTAAAAATCGTCTATCCTCGGTTGCAACACTCACTACCGAGTTCCAAACTGCCTCTGGAAGCAACATCAGCACAATAACTGTTTGTCAGGAGCTTAATGAAATGGGTTTCCATGGCCGAGCAGCCACAAACAAGCCTAAGAATGGAAATGCGTTCTCTGGAGTGATGAATCACGCTTCACCATCTGGCAGTCCGACGGACAAATCTGGGTTTGGCGGATGCCAGGAGAATGCTACGTGCCCGAATGCATGGTGTCAACTGTAGTGTTTGGTGGAGGAGGAATAATGGTCTGGGGCTGTTTTTCATGGTTCGGGCTAGGCCCCTTAGTTCCAGTGAAGGTAAATCTTAACGCTACAATGACATTCTAGACGATTCTGTGCTTCCAACTTTGTGGCAACAGTTTGGGGAAGGCCCTTTTCTGTTTCAGCATGACAATGCCCCTGTGCACAAAGCGAGGTCCATACAGAAATGGTTTGTCGAGATCAGTGCGGAAGAACTTGACTGGCCTGCACAGAACCCTGACCTCAACCCCATCGAACACCTTTGGGATGAATTGGAACGCCGACTGCGAGCCAGGCCTAATCGCCCCAACATCAGTGCCCGACCTCACTGATACTCGTGGCTGAATGGAACCAAGTCCCCACAGCAATGTTCCAACATCTAGTGGAAAGCCTTCCTAGTAGTGTGGAGGCTGTTATAGCAGCAAAGGGGGGACCAACTCCATATTAATGCCAATGATTTTGGAATGAGATGTTCGACAAGCAGGTGTCCACATACCTTTGGTCATGTAGTGTAATTCTATTTTAATTGCTATGACTGATATGTTGTTGTTTATTTACCTTATTCGAATGCACTGACTGTAAGTCATCCTGGATAAGAACGTGTGCTGAATGACCAAAATATAAAAAACTGTTGCAAAGCATGTTGGGTATTATTGCAATGAGCTCCGCCCCCAAACAAAATTTGGTCGGTGCAGACCAGATCGAAATCTGAACTAATCATAGATGTCTACGCTATGTTTCACAAGTTTGAACATCACAGTACAGTGCCTGACAGTTTAGTAAAGTAGAGCACAGTGAAGTACAATGCAGTATGGTATGGTACGGTATAGGACAGCAGAGTTTTATTCAGTAAAGTACGGTACAGTACTGTAGAGTTTAATTCAGTAGAGTAGAGTACATTAGAGTAAAGTAGGGTACAATAGTACACTATATTTTACTTTTCTTTACTTTACTGTACTCTAATGTGCTCTACTGTATTGTACTGTACTGTACTGTACTCTACTTTTCTTTACTGTACAGTGCACTGTGCTGTAATGTACTGTACTCTGCTGTGCTCTACTGTACTGGGCTGTCCAAACTTTTAAAACATACAGGTAACTGCCAAAATAATGGAAAAACTTGAGTAAATGAGGAATACAAAGCATATTGCAAGTAGGTGCTTCCACACAGGTGTGGTTCCTGAGTTAATTAAGCAGTTAACATCCCATCATGCTTAGGGTCATGTATAAAAATGCTGGTCAGGCCATTATTTTGGCGATTATCTTTGCTACCATGGCTATGCCCCCATAGGATGACAATGTCGCCATCCACAGGGCACGAGTGGTCACTGAATGGTTTGATGAGCATGAAAATGATGTAAACTATATGCCATGACTGTCTCAATCACCAGATCTCAACCCAGTTGAACATTTGAGATTCTTGAGCGGCGCCTGAGACAGCGTTTTCCATAAAGAAAACACCAAATGATGGAATTTCTTGTGGAAGAATGGTGTCGCATCCTCCCAATAGAGCTCCAGACACTTGTAGAATAGGGATGGGCATTTGACATTTTTTGACTGTTAGAGTACTTGCATGATTTTTCTTTGAGTACTCAAAAAAAAAATATATATATTTTAACACAAGGCCAACACTGGAAAGAAAATGTGTGCTCATTTATCTAGATGCCAACAATGCCTAATTTATCATAACCATTACATTACACATAACAAATCCTAATGGCTAAATTGTCCCATATACACTTAGCGTGAGTTGCACCCCCTTTTGCCCTCAGAACAGCCTCAATTCGTTGGGGCATGGACTCTACAAGGTGTCGAAAGCGTTCCACAGGGATGTTGACTCCAATGCTTCCCACAGTTGTGTCAAGTTGGCTGGATGTCCTTTGGGTGGTGGACCATTCTTGATACACACAGGAAACTGTTGAGCGTGAAAAACCCAGCAGATTTAACAGGTGACAACAATAAGGGATCATAGCTTTCACCTGGATTCACCTGGTGAGTCTATGTCATGTTTTGTACTCAGTCAATAAAAAACAAGTGCCATTTAAGATTCCTTTATTGAAACCGTTATATAAACTGGTTATATTAGCCTATATCGTGGAACACAATCCTCAAAAAGGCAGTAAACTCAGCAGTGGCACATGCTTGTAGAAGCCTATGGCTGTGCAATGGCCTAACCTTGTTTTGTTAATTTAGCAGACAAGACACTCTTATTTCCCGAGCCCTTATCACAGTCAAGGCACACCTATTTTATAGTAAAAAACATTAATGTAATAGAACAGAAAAGTTGCCAGTAATGCACATCTGGTGTCTGGAAGTTATTCTCAAAGAGTGATAATTTAAAATGGGACTCAATTTGGCAAGTTGAAAGAAAAAAATAATCAGGGTTACAAACCAAAAACGGTCTTCTTTTCGATATAGACATTCAATGTAGTTTATTCTGCCTGTTCTTTGGAATTTTCCAAATGGATGAACAATATTACATTGAGCACTGCATAGTGATGAATTATGGCCATGACATCTGTTTGGTGAGTAGGCCTAGGCTTAACGATTCTGATGAAAATACGCTCTGTCTTTATCAAACTAATGTTTTTGCATATCTTCAGTGTGGATCCTGTCTATGTTTAGGGGGGGTTATAGGCTAACCAATTCTAAATGGCACTAGCAGTTCGCAAAGTAGCCTAAGCGGAAAATAGACGGGACGCAATTATTCCAAAACTGCAGCTGGTTGTTGGAACACATATTTTCCTACTTCAATCAACCAGTCCATTTTGAATTTGTGATGAAACTGTCGTCATTTGGCAAGGAATGTAGCTTGTGTATTCCATCAGTTATGCACGTTTTTATAGGCATTTATTTCTGTAGGCCTAATGGGAGCTTGTGTGTTTAGAGGGAGCAGTCGGAACACAACTGAGTGAGTGAGACAGAGGGGAAAGGGAATTTAGGGAGAAGAACTGTGTGATGCTTGGCTTGGTTTCTTTTTTGTTGTTGTGCCCTGCAAATGCACATGTAGACATGGAACACTAGAGTCAAAGCAAATTAGCCTTGTCTTCACGACAACATTCCTTTTTTTTCAGAACCAAATTTCACTTGCCTGTCCGGCCAGTCACAGAGCACATTCTGCCAAATAGTTCTACAGTATTTGAAAAAAATGTGATCTCTGGTTAAAGATTGAGTTTTGACATCCGTTGGTGTACTCGAGTACTCGATAACTCATGCACATCCTCATCGTAGAATCTATGCCAAGGTGCATTGAAGCTGTCATGGCTCGTGGTGGCCCAACGCCCTATTAAGACACTTTATGTTGGTGTATCCTTTATTTTGGCAATTACCTGTAGATGTCTATGATTGGTTCAGATTTGGTCCGGTACAGACCAGGCCAAATCTGAACCAATTATAGACGCCTATGTTTGGGCCAATAGGCCGGTCCGGACCGGATGTCTGTGAACGTTGAAATCAAGACCTAACCAAATCTGAACCAAACATACCTCTCCTTGGACGTTGAAATCAAAGCCGGTCCGTACTGCATTAAAAAAAAGACCAAAAAAAGATGTCCGTTCCGGACAGGATAAAAAATACATTGGTAAATGCTTAGTGGGAA